TTTCAAGGACCCATTAACTCTTTCAACATTTCGATAAATTAACAGATATTTTATTAAATAATATTTTGGTTTTAAAATATTGTATACATCTCTTTTATTTTAACCGCATTACGTTTCTCACTATATAATAATCAAATTTATAAAAATTTGTAATAAAATTTATTACAAATCGGTCGATCGCTTCCGTACGAAAAACATGTCACACTCGGCTATTTTTATAAGTAACTATGTACATCTTATTCTTGGACACACAAAACATCTTTTATGATCTTTCTAAAATAATTTCATACATTACGGATGTCTTATGATTTCAACGACGATTCTCACGGATGATTTAGTTTACACTTGAAAAGGGCCCAAACCAAGGGCTGAAACATTGTGATTTTGCACTGAATTGTGGCCAGTTAAGTCGATACAATAAAAATATATTCGTATAAATAAATTTCAATTACCGTAAAGACAGAGAATAACTTATATATGTATATTAATAAATATAATCTTAATTATACATTTTTGCAGGTCATGCTCGATAAAGTATTCACTTTTGGCGACTAGTTCTGTTAGTGGCGTTACAATAAGATCTGTGCTAAACGCTATACAAGGTCACTTACCTTATCGAGTATGGCTACCATACGATTACAATACACCTTCGATGTTCTGGATTACATCCATTCAACAAATTATAACTGTGATATTCTGTACCATCGTAAACGTCGGCACGGAAACTCTGGTTTTTGGATTGTTTCTGCAAACATGCGCGCAATTTGAAATCTTTGAAAGTCGTCTTCGTAAATTAGTGATGAACAAAACGAACAAATTAATGAAAAATGAAGTTAGATATCAAAAATACTTATCTCCTTCGTCAAATAAAGAAGAAACGATATCAAAATACATATATCATCACCTCGAGATTTACAAGTTAGAATTACTTTTTTAGTACATGTTTACACATCTAGTTATTTATATTTTTTAATATGATACAAGCATTAATTTCTCTACCTACGATTCGCATTTATAATAATGATAATTGATGTTTCTGACCAAAAGATGATTAAAGTAAAAAGAACAATATATATTGATGTAATTATTTGGAACTTAATTAAAAAACAATTGTTAATAACTCGAAGAAAGAACATTTTTCAAGTAATTTATAGATCATTTCATGCTAAAAATAAATCATATTTCAGTGCTTATTTAAGAACATGTAATTGCTATAACTTTAATAAATAATAAACACTAGAATATTTAAAATTTTTAAGCAAGTTAAAACCTTACGTGTAATAATGTGAGAGCTTCCATTTACTTTGCAATTTATTACATCATTGCAGATATGCCAAAACAGTAAATTTTATATTCAATCAGGTACTCTTTGTCCAATTCTTTGGCAGTATATTGATATTATGTACAAGTGTATATTATCTGTCAACACATAGTACGCTGTCCGAAACAGCCACTTTGATAGTGTACACTATTTGCATGTTTGTACAAATTTATGTTTACTGTTGGTCCGGAAATGAAGTCATACTTAAGGTAAGTAGGTATTCGCAATCCAGTCCCAAACCGATATACTCTGTAAATTAAAGTAATTTAAAGTCACAAATATATCTTCATAATTTTATTTTTTAAGAATTTTCAAAGTAATTTAATATTTATCGCAAGTTTGAAATCGGGAAATACAAAATATTACAAAATAACATGTATATGTTTGTATAATTTAAAAAATGTCTATCCGTTTATCGCGGCATAAATACATGTGTATAAATTTAATAAAGTGATTCAGTATTATTATGAGATAATTATTTTATTTATGTTACGTTGGCAGAGTATGAGCGTGGGAGATACAATATATTGTATGAACTGGCCTTCACTATCAGTTAACGAAAGGAAAGAACTACTAATGATCATGTTACGCAGCACAATTCC